TCCACCTTTTTGCAACCCTAGTTTATATATATATGTAAAGTCACAGTAGACTAGTTGGTGTATCCATGCAGAGATTCTAAAAATGCATCAACAGGTTGAAATTTTTGCAAAAAAAAAGCATGAAGCAGTTTTGTATAATCAATGTGTTTTATCAATTATTTATGCATTTTTATTGTTATTAAAGCATTAGGTGGGCTTTGTTGGAGTGAGTTTTTTTTTTGTCTGCCAAACTGAAGTTGTAGACATTCATTAACTGTTTTGATATGACAACATATTAAGGTAATTTATGTTCGCAATTTAAAATTCGAGATGTTTGTAAAAACAATTGTTACCATGAAAATCAAATGTGAACATCATAAACTTGGATGGAATGGTGTTTTTGTTAGCTGCTGTGTGATTGTGTTCGTTTGGCTCTCAGTTATCAGGATCCTGCGTTCTTCGAAGAGTGCAAACAGGAGTATCTCAGAGAGAAGCACGAATACAAACAGACCGGGATTCCAGCCAAGAACAGAAAGCAGAAGCTTCCCACCAGCATGTGATGAAGAACACTGCAGTGAGGAGGAGGATGATGAGGATGGACCATGAAAATCATTTCTGGCCGTTTCTGGCGATGCTGTTGTCTCTGATGGACGTTCTCGGCGTCTGTTGGTTTATATTCATGATTAGCTCTCATAAATCATCTCTTGCACCTAAAGCCTAATAAAAATTCATAGAGAATGTTTTTGAATCACATCAGATGTGTACCGACCCACCGACCCCTGGGAATTACTGCCACAGAACCTGCTCTTTGTTTGTTTTAAAACACAACCTCAGAGTTATTCATGATGCTCGTGTTCGGATGATTTTCAATCAGTTTGTGCTTCAGATTCAGATTCGGTGTCTGTAATTGTTTCTAGCACTGTAGCAACATATCTTTTTATTTTTTTTTCAGGCTATAATTATATAAATTGCTGGTGATATTGTGAACTTTTAATAAAATATTAGACGTGTGTGTATATATATATATATATATATAATTTGAGGTCAGTAAGATTTAACATTTTTTTAAGAAGTCTCTCCTGTTCACCAAGGCTGCATTTATTTGATCATAAGTACAGTAACAAAAATTGTGAAATATTATGATTTAAAACAGCTGTTTTCTATGTGAATATGTGTTAAACTGTAATTTATTTCTGTGATGCGCAGCTGTATTTTCAGCATCATTACTCCAGTCTTCAGTGTCACATGATCTTCAGAAATCATAATAATATGCTGATTTGCTGCTCAAGAAACATTTCTGATTATTATCAATGATGAAAACAGTTGTGCTGCACAATATTTTTGTGGAAACTGATGCATTTTATTTTTCAGGATTCACAGATGAACAGAAAGTTCAAAAGAACACCATTTATTTGAAATATTTTAGAACATTATAACTTTAAATTGCTTAATGCATCCTTGAATGACAGTATTAATTTATAATCTTACTGAAAATAGTATAATGATGACGTTATCTGTTTATGAAAATGCAAACTCAAACTGAAAGTATCAAATGTGATCCCCATAAAAGCTTGAAATATTCATAGCTTTACATTTGGATTATACAGATGCAGATGCTCTTATATGGATAGTTTAATAAACCGTGTGCCATATGAATATGAGAGACACGAAACAATCTAACACAAAAGTAATAGAATGGTTTGTTGGTGCTGAAGGTCATAACAGCATCAGATACAATTTATGGTTATCCTTCAAATGCAAAGTTACAATAATTACATAAGTTATAATCACATCTCAACCCTCCACAGATACAGTAACATTACATCAGACCTTTTAATAACCTTCACCCTTAAACTGACGCCAAAAAATGTTCACATGAATTCATTTATTGAATATTTACAAACTTTTCAGGATTAATAATCCTAAAAATAATCTACTGTACATTGCATTTTGGTTCACAGACCTGTCGCGGTAGAGCCGGACATGTTTCATGTGAACTCGCGCTTCCAAACGTCTCCGGTGTGCGTCTGCGAATCGGCTCTCTGTGATGAGGATTGTGGTCACATGACAGCTGTCAAATCAAATCTGCAAATGCATTACAAGCTTTTAAACACGAGATATCCTTTGATACCACTTTGTTTCTCAAAGTCCGACCTGTAGAGCTATTATAAGTTTATATACACATACAATTGATTTTTCATCGTCCTTGTGCTTCACGTTTCTTTTGACAGAACGCAGTTGGTATCGAGACGAAACGTTTTACTGTTATCTGTAAAAATCACAGTAGAAACACAGACTGCTTGTGTCTCTGTACATTATTAATGCCTTTAAGGCAGCTTGTCTCAGATTTTGGCCGTATGTATTTTTTACAAACATCTTTGAATGCAAAAATTACTTTAAATGATGCATCAGTGTACATTATGATAAAGAAACATAATTTTTGTAATCATTCACCAAGACGTAAAATTTAGAAGAAACCCTTTCACAATCATGAAATGATGGATAAAATCCAGTTTTCTTAACAAATACTCATCAGATTACAGAAGTAAAATGGCTTGTTTCATGTTGACTTTAAACAGGGTTGCCACAGCTTTAGTTTCTGATTCTTCAAGAATTGCTAGAATCACAAATATAGCTGCAAGCAGCAATTAAGGAGCCGAGCATGAACCTGAAGATGATCCGAGTAGAATTTGTTGAAAATTGGACCAATGGTCTAGGAGGAGTACGAAAAAAAATGTTTTCAGAGGAACTAAAAACGGCGGACGGGAAGTTCGGCCAATTATGATATAATTGGTATCGACGTTCTGAGCATAATCTAAGGAATCTATTGAGACCAGTAAGCAAAAATATTCAAAAGTTAATAAAAATTTTTTAAATGTCATTATAATTGCCCAAAGCTTTTTGAGTACCTTCAGGGCATGGTGCCGATGACACGTACAGAGTTTTGAGTTTTGTAACAACACACCAAAGCATTTGTAAAAAAACAGCATGTTACGATAAAATTCAAAATAGCTGACATGGGAATATTGGGTATCGTTCAACTTGGTATGTCGTCATGAAAGTAAAATGACAAGTCTTGTGACGTGTGCCAAACCATTCAGAAGTTATAATCAAAAATATCCATTTTCAAAACTCCTGTCCACTAGGTGGCGCTGTGCCAAAACTGTGCAGGTAACCTCAGATCATGGTTATTATAACACACACCAAGTTTGGGTTAAACACGCTAAAGCATTGTGGAGATATAGCCTCATGTTCATTTTGGCGTGCTCTTCATTTAATTAGTTTGTGTGTTATTCAATAACAGTTCGTCTAATCAACTGGATTTACATAACTTTTTGTTGCCATGGTCTGAAGATGACCTGGTTAAAACTTAGTGAAATTTGGAGCAACGGCCAAGGAGGAATTAAAAAAGAAGTAAATTTTCATGACAGGAAATTATATCATGGTGCGCAATCAAATTGGCATGAGCCAAGGAATCAGAGGAATTTTATGTCCGAGGAATTCTGAAAAGCAATTTTGATTTTTAAGAGTAACTTTCATTTCTGAAAGTTAGAATTTTGCTTCTAGACCTTGCAGTTCAAAAATTATTAGCATAAATGTCATTGCAACTTTGAGCTGTTGGTGGCGCTAGAGAGTTTGAGTTAGAGACTCCAAATTTGGTGTGATTAATGTTGAGACTGTCTTCTATCAGTGTGCCAAATTTCACAATTTTTTACCATACGGTTCTATGGGCTTCCATAGACTCGAGAGTGGCAGAAGAATACAAAAACTAACACACAACAAGTGCTTGGCCCCTAAAAGAGCAAATCATTTACTATAGAAAGACTTTTTAATATAGAAATTTCCAGGTTGACTGTGAGACCCTGTTTAAAGCTAAATAACTTGCACAAACCCACCCGCCGCCCACAGATCCACTCATTTATTGACTAAATCTAAACACTAAAACATTGTTTTCTCTGATTTGAACAGCAGTATGGAACGGGCATCAACACATGACAGACGTGTTTCTAAAGAAACAACCTTCAAGGAGTGCTTGAGCTACTAAAACCTTCCCTTTACACATTCATAAATACAAGACAGGATCCGTTACGCTTAATAGAATCGACTCGACCCAGGAGATGAACACAAGCCTATAGGAGATAGGGTCAGGAATAGGGTTGGGAACCGAAAATCAACTCAAATTCCAGAATCGGATACTTGAGGTCAGGAATCAGTAAAATTCAAAATTAAATTTGCCTGTCAATTCCTGTGTGTGCATCTTTTTTTTTTTAAGGGGCTGTTAAAAATGTATTTGTCTTTGATTCATTCATTCAAGAGATTCATTCAAAAGCACTGATTCATCACAGTAATGAAACAAGTACATCTTGAGTGAGTCATTGAATCATTCCATTCATAGATTCCATGAGATTTTTAGTTGTCTAAAGTTTTTTTTTTCAGAATTGTGAGAGAACTACAACCTCCATTTAAGTCTCAATTTATCCAGAATCGTGCAGCTCTATTTTGCACACAAACATCTCTTAATCAAGTCCAGTTTTTATGTAGGCCTGCTGATTTTTGTTCACAGTATTCAGCTGCAATTAAATGTTTTCCAAAAAGAGACCCTGGAGCATAAAAGCAGTCATAAGTAGCACAGGTATATTTGTAGCAATAGCCAACAATACATTGTATGGGTCAAAATTATTGCTAAAAAATCATTAGGATATTAAGTAAAGATCTCCATGAAGATATTTTGTAAATTTCCTACCGTAAATATATTAAAACTTAATTTTTGATTAGTAATATGCATAGCTAAGAACTTAATTTGGACAACTTTAAAGATGATGTTCTCAATATTTAGATTTTTTTGCACCCTCAGATTCCAGATTTTCAAATATTGACCTCTCCTTATAAACCATACATCAATGGAAAGCTTATTTATTCAGCTTTCAGATGATGCATACATCTCAATTTCAAAAAGTTGACCCTTATGACTGGTTTTGTGCTCCAGGGTCTCAAATATGTTTGATATCTAAATGTTTGGCTTAATCGCTAAGAATCGGAATCGGAATCGAAATTCAAATTCAAACGATACCGAACCCTAGTCAGGAATGCGTCCGCTCAAGGGTTTCTCCATCCCAGTCTGCTCGAGGTATTTGCTCATCCGGGATCATCCAGAGAGGGATGTGTGTGTGTTAAGGCAGGTAAGGTGTGGAGGGCCGGGGCCGGGATTCAGTACGGTTGGCCCCAGTCTCCGGCGGGGCTCTTGGGCTTGGTTTGGTCCCAGAACAGAGCATCGCTGGGTCTAGGAGGGCTGGGGAAGGACCAGGAGCTGTCGTCCAGCGAGCTCATGCGTGGGGGGGGATTGAGCCGCACGCCGGGGCTGCCCAGCGGGGCCGGACGCGGGAGGGGCCAGGGGTCCTGGGGGCCGTCTGGGACTGAAGGCAGCGGAGGCGCGCTGGGGGGACGAGGGACACTGCTCTTCTGCACATCATCCAGGCACTGCACTGGAACAGTTGAAGCAGCTGAAACCGACAGCCTCCGGATTTATTACACACCTCAGAAACTCCCACAAACACACTACAGCTACAAAACATGCTGCCTACTGAGTGCACTCAAAACAGCCTGACTGACGGATATGAAAACATGCCAAATAAAATGAGCGTTTTAGGTAGTAGTAGGATGATATCTAAAATAATAAATATATATATACACACACACACATAATCGTTTATTTTATATATGTTAAATATATCATTTGACTCACCTGGCTATAAAGTTTGAACTCAAGCCAGATCACCAGTGAGAGCGAGCACTATTTTTACCAGCACAGATGGCGAGTGCAGTAACATAAACAAGGCATGCATTAGTGCTCCTCGGGGACGCACAGATTCACACACATCACTAACTCTCTGCTTCTCATCTCACGAAACAACGAGGGGCTCATTTGAAAACTGATTATGTTGCCGATCTCTCAGAGGAATATACGGGCTATATCTTAAAGAAAGCCCGCCGTCTCCAGATTCACTGAAATAAACATGGAGCTCTTCCTCATTTTTAACATTCATTCTAATTTGCACCTTTTGCTTTTCCTCTGTGACACACGGAATACTGACAATCCCAGACAGACGAGAAGCGCACACACACAGACACTCACACTCACTCACACACACACACTCACTCACACACAGACACTCACACACACACACACACACACACACACACACACACACACACACACA